CTAACAATATTTACAATAGGCTTTAAACAGCACAAGGGCTGGGCAGATATCTATCCTCTATATTGTTAGAATCTATTTTCCTATCGATAACCCTGAGTTATTACTTACTATGTTTCATCTGGGCTGCTCTTAGCTCCCATTGGCCAGCCCTTAGGGACACGTTTTTTATGACTTATCTAACCAATGGCAGCTTCTTCTTCTCCTGCCTTCTTCTTCCTTGTGGTCCCTCTCCAACCTCAAGCCTGTACAACCTAAATCCCACCTATGACGATTCTGCCCAGCTATTGGCTGCTGCCATCTTTACTTACCAATCAGAAACAACTTCGGGCCAAGGTGTACATGTGGACTCTCTCATTTCTGGGACAGCCAAGTCTTGAGAGCATCTATACTTTATAGTTTAGCTTGTAGTTATATTCTTTGTGCGTGTAATTTTCTTTTTGGGGGGACTAGAATTATAGTTTTAAAATACATTTGCATATTATATTTTGTTAGGTATTATATAAAAAATATATACTCAGATTGTCCCTATTCACACGCCCTGCCTGGTGGGAGGGAGGTGTGCAGGGTTTGTTTATTTATTTATTTATTTTTTATTATTTATTTATTTATTAATCTTAACTACAGTGGGTAGAATTAAAAGCTGACTTTTTAAGTTTATAAAGTGAATTTAGAATTGGGGAAATAAGCTTCAGCCAGAAGTTCCCACCTTGACAGGAACTAATTGTTGTATTTTTAAGCGGTAATTTGATCTCAGGCATATACAAATCCATACTGTAGTTAGCAAGGTCATGATAGGGATTATGATTCATGATAGGAATCAACTGTGCATGTCATGTGTGAATGTCTGTGTGTTTTGCATGTGTGTGTGTGTTTGTGTGTGTATGTGTGTTTTTGTGTGTGTGTGTGTGTATGTGTGTGTGTATGTGCATGTGATTGTGTCTGTGTTGTGTGTGTATATGTGTTTGTATGTGCGTGGTTGATGAAGAATCTTTTCCTCTACTGCTCATTCCTTAATTTTTTTTTTTTTTTTGAGACGGGACCTGTCACTGAATCTGCAGCTCACTGGTTAGGCCAGATTGGCTGCCCCACCAGCTCTAAGGTTCTACCTTTCTCTCCTGCCCCTCCACCCAGCAGATGCTTGGCATTTTAAATCTGGGGTCTGGGGATTTGAACTTAGGTTCTTATGCATTTGAAACAGGCTCTTTATCCATTGAGCCAACACTACACAAACCCATGAGGGCCTTTTTATTCTTCTTCTTCAGATTGACTTTGGCCTTTCATTTATCACTTTATTTTTGTTAAATGTAATAGTGAAGTCATTGCTGGTCATTTGCTGATTTAGTAGGGCTGAACCTAAGGCTTTGTTTATTGTTTTATTATTACTAATTACTATTATTATTGTTTTGATATTTTTGAGACAGGGTCTCTGTATGTATCCTTGCCTGTCCTGGAACTCACTCTGTAGACCAGGCTGGCCTCGAACTCAGAAATCCGCCTGCCTCTGCCTCCCAAGTACTGGGATTAAAGGCGTGCGCCACCACCGCCCGGATGCCTCTGCCTCTCAAATGCTGGAATTAAAGGCATCTAGTATCACCCCCAGCAAGATCTGCTAGTTATTACAAAGTGTTTTTAGCATTACCGTCTGCATAGGGCCTGCCCTTATTTGCAGATGTGTCCTCAGTGGAGGTCACCTCTGAGTTTCCTGGGAAAGAAGTCGTTTGTTTCTCCTTCTGTGTCAGTGTGGTCTGACAGCAGTCACCTGGTCCTGGCTCTCCATGTGTGTGTCACCGTGTGTCTCATGCTTCAGTGTATCCTTGAGGTAGCCACGCAACGAGACTCCATTCCGGTGGCTTGCTCCTCGGGACTGTACAGGTAATTGCATGTGCAGTCCTGAGGACATTTATTTCCAGCACAACAATGCCTCTGAGTCCCAGAATAATTAACCAGGGGACTGGGGGGAGTGGCTGTCCCCAAGGTCTGCTGCTGGCTCCAGATCCTATATTTCATACAGAAACAGCTCAGAATTTGCCAAGCAGGACATTTCCAGGAACAAAAACATCCAACCAAACTATGTAATTAGATATTATCATGGGTGCTTAGATTTAAAAAGAGGTTGTACTCTGTTGTAGACCGGTGGCTCTCAACCTCACTAACACTGTGACCCTTTAATACAGTTCCTCGTGTTGCAGTGACCCCCAGCTATAACACTATTTTCATTGCTGCTTCATAACTAATCGTGCTACTGATATGGCTATTAATGGAAATATCTGATCTGTAGCCCCTGTGAAAGGGTCATTCAACCCACCAAGGGGTCATAACTCACAGGCTGCGAAGCGCTGTTCTAGGGGATCACACTACGTAGGTAGTCTGATAGTAGGGTAGAAACCTTCAGAGCTGAAATGTTTTAATTATGTTTGCTGTTCTTTTGGCACTAGGGAGCATTTGACTAATCTACTTAAAATTGTGAGCATGTTCACCATACTCTAGCATCTGATAGATTTAAATTATTATTTATTTGTTTATTGTTTGTTTGTTTACTACTTATTTATTTGTGTGTGTGTTGCTAGCATGCTATGTGTATGAACGGAAGTTGAAGGATAACTTATGGGGGAATTTGTTCACTCCTTCCACCATATGAGTCTTAGGGACTGAACCCAGGTTTTGGGCTTGGTGGGAATCACCTTTAACCACTGAGCCATCTGGCTCTGATAGATTTTTTTTTTTTAATGTATCATAAAGGCTTTTGTGAGAAGCTGCTTTCAAATATCACCAACAGTGAGAGGCTCCTGATTTTGCACCAGGAGGTTTCTTTTCATATAAAAAGAAGTCCTTGTGTCACTAAATTTAGGGCATTGATTTTCTAAGTAAAAACAGGAGTCCAGTTGACTATCACCAACGCTGATCCTGGTTACTGAAACTGAGCAAGCGAGCAGATACCACACTCCTATCTGAAGAGAAATCTGTAAATGTTAAAGATATGGTGTCTCCAATAAAGGACTCTTGGCTCTACTTTAAGGCCTGTGATTTAATTAGCAGTAGCAGTGAGTTCTCTTGAAAAAGGGAAAACCAAAACTCTACAAAGAGAAGCATTTTACAAAATAATCTCTATGATGAGCTATTATCCTGCCAGGGGCAGGCTTTCCTGACTACTTGCCTTTGGGTGGTTTTTCTTTCCAACTGATGACTGAGACCTCTCTCTCTCT